CCCTTCCTCTTTTCCTTCCTCCCTCTCTCCCCTCCCCCTCCCTCCCTTCCTCTGTCCATAGGCAGCACCCCGCTTGCTCTGGAGGGCAACTTGCTATTTGCCCCCCTACACACACACACACACACACACACACAATTCTAAACACTCTGCTGACTCCCCACCCGCCCCTTTTTCTGTGGTTGTTTAAAACTTGTGGAAAACATTTTTTTTCCTTTGGAAAACTGCTTCCCCCCGCCCCCTTTTTTTTTTTTTGTGAGATCTGTACATTTGAAGTCTCCGGTCTGCTGGAATAACCGAGATCTTTTTAATGATTATGCCATGCTGTAATTTTAACTTTGTTTTGCTTTGTTTTCGTTCTTTGTTGTGTTTTTTCTTTCTTTCTTTCTCTCCGTACAGTTGGTTTTGTTCCCGCAAGCCTGTGAAGGACACCATTGCATGGGGGGGCTATCCAAATTCCCCCCCCCACTTCCTGGTTTGACCTCAGTCCAAATCTATTTTTTTTCACACACACCCCTGGCCCTTCCTTCCTTCCCTTAAATTCTCTTCTCCTTTCCTGTCTTTAACTCCCAAATCATCTTAACTGCTTTTTTGTCCTAAATGAAAGCAAAATTTCCGGTCTTCGGCTGCGGCAAAGGCCAAGTCTCCAGCCTGTTCCAGTCTCTGCACCCAAATTCATATTTCTTCCCTTTAAGAAAAAATTAAGCTGTGGATTCTGCCAAAAGGCGGCCGATTCGGTCGGCCTTGCGAGAAAATTTCCCACATTTTTTTTTTTCTTTTTTGGCCCGAAACGAGGCTAAGATTGCCCTGCAAGCGGCTTCTGGTGTGCATTTGAAGCCACCGTTGTCTGTTTACAAGCCAAATTTTGTGTAACCGCAAGAGAAGAATTTGTGAAAGCATTTGAATCTTGAACCGGGTCAAGCTTTGGAAAACCTCGACGAGAAAAAAAAAAAAGCTGAATTTAAAGATAAATCTGAGCTGTAAATCTCTCCTTTTTTTCTTCTTCTTCCTCTCCCCTCAAATTGTTCTCAAATTGTCCTCTGGGCCATTAAAGGATAGCATTGGCAAATTTTTAAGGCAGAACCCAACCTCAACAACTTTTAAGAGGCGTGGACTTCAATTCCCAGAATTCCCTAGTCAGCCAGTGCGGAATTGAAGTCCATACCTAGTAAATATCGTTGAGGTTGGGAAACATGGCTTTAAAAACTTGCTCAAACCTAATTTCTGAAAAGGGAATCGGCCTCCCACCGTCCTGGAATTATACCCACCTCTGTGGCTGTGCAGATGGGAGTTGTAGTCCTCTGCAGCGCAGAGAGAAGTTGCTTTGAGTGACACAAAGTGGCGAGTTGATTCTCCCTTCAGCAACCGCACTTGACGCCGGACTTTTCATCCCAACAGGGTGTTGTTGCCTTTGTGTGTTGCCTTCCCAGTTTTCATGCAGGGCTTGATGAAAAATAAAATTAAAATCTCCCATCGGGCTCCGAACCTGGTTACTAACATTTGCCGAATGAAAGAACCGTAGGAAAGGAGGGGGGGGGGGAAAAAAGGCAGAAGTTGTGTTGGCTTTTAAACCGTTTCTCCATCTCTGAGAAGCTCTGGAAAGAAAGCACACAACCGGAAACCCGTGTAGGAGGGGTATCGGCGTCATATTTATTTTTCAGAATAAATAAGTCAAGATCGCAAGTACACATCCTTGCGAAGGTTCTCGCGCCAATCCGTCGTTTGCCAATTTCTTTCATCAACCTTCAACCAACGGCTAAAGCGAAAGTCAAAAGGCGGCACCCACTTTGCAAAAACAAATCCCATCTTTCAGTTGGAATTTTCTGCAAAAATTCCACAGATTTGGTAGTTTTCCAAACAGGCTGCTTCACACAACGAATTGTCCCTCGGTATCTCCAATAACATTTCCTAGTTTGGGAGGTAGACTATATATACTTATATATATATCGCTGTCGATGATTTCTGATCCCTACTGTTGTTCTTCTCCACCCTGGTACGTTCAGTTTTAATTTTAATTTTGGAGGGGTGGGGAGTGGGGGAGAGAGAAGAATCCCAAATGTCCCCCATTTATGTCCCTCTTCTGTTGGTACCCATGCCTCAAGTAAAATGGTGACTTCTACAATTCAGACCAATCAAATAATAATAATAAAAAAGGGCAGGTTTGCGGAGTTTCGTTCAGTCCGTCTTTTCTCAGGGATGGGGGGGCAGACAGCTAGAAAGGGGGGCTTATTTTGCTTTTCATCACGGCTGTCCCCAAAATAATTGGGTGTGTGTGTCCTTTCCCCTGTCCCCACTCTCACCCAGTGCCCCCAAGAAAGCCCGTGGGCAGCTGCCAGGGTTTGTTGGTCCCCAGAGGAAATCTTAAAATCTGTTCCCCGTTCTTGTAGGGTGCAAAGGAAGGCATGAGAATTAACGCCAAAAAGCCGTGTTGATCTCAAGATTGAGTGCTTGACGGGGTTTGGACTTCAACTCCCAGAGTTCTCTAATAAAAACAGGCTGGCTGGGGAATTCTGGGAGTGGAAGTCCTCCCATCCTAAAGCATGCTGGCGAGGAATTCTGGCAGTTGACATCCACCCATCTTAAAGCATGCTGGCTGGGGAATTCTGGGAGGGGAAGCCCACCCCCCTTAAAGCATCCTGGCTAGGGAATTCTGGAAGTCCACCATCTTAAAGCATGCTGGCTGGGGGATTCTGGGAGTGGAAGTCCATCCCTCTTAAAGCAGGTTGGCTGGGGTATTGGAGTGGAAGCCCACCCCTCTTAAAACAAGCTGGCTGGGGAATTCTGGGAGTGGAAGTTCACAAACCTAAAACAGACCGGCTGGGGAATTCTGGGAGTTGAACCCAGGTCTTCCCTGCAAACTATCTGACTGCTGTGCCCAGATGTCATCCAGGAAAAATGACTTCACGAGATCCGGATTGGACCTTCTGGGTTTCAAAAGAACGGGGAAATTCACGGGGCGTTTTTTTTTTTACCCCCCTCTCCTCGTTTGCCTTTCCTACCTACCTAGCTCACATTCTGTCATCCGGGTAATCCTCAACGTACGACCGCACGTGAGCCCAACCTTTCTGTCGCTAAGCGAGACAGCTCTGAATTGAGCTTTTCCCCCTTTTACTAATACTTTCTACAGTTGTCAAGCCAATCCCTGCGGTCGCTAAGTCAGTAACACCGTCGTTAAGCGAATCCGGCTTCCCCCGTCGACTTTGCCGGCCCGAAGGCTGCAAAAGGGGATCGCGTGACCCCCGGGGACACCGCGACCGTCATCAATACGAGGCAGTTGCCAAGCGCCCCACATTTTGATCACCTGACCCTGGGGAGGCTGCGACGGTCGTAGGTGTGAAAAACGCGTCCCTTTTTTCTCCCCGGCGCCGTTGTAACTTTGAACGGTCACTAAACAAACCGTTGTAAGTCAAGGACAACTTGCAGTTGGGAGGGGCAGGCCTTTAGCAGGCCTCCCTCCGGTCCAGTGGAATGACTGGGAAATTTAAAAAAAATAAGGATAATTTTATGGCTTAAAAGCTGCAGGTATCTCCGCTTTATTCGGCCCCCGGCGGTGCCAACTGGGGCTGTCCTGGGGGGGGTTCCTCGCCCTCTGCCCTCCAGCTGGCGCCCCCTACATGCCATTTTCTTGGGCAGGGCACCGGTGGAGGGCTGCCCCACGGAGAGCCACGCCGTGGGGCCCTGACAAAGCACCTGTCGCAGTTCAGACAATCGTAGTCCAAGCCGATCGGGGGAATCAGGGCCGGTCACTCCTTCGGTCCCTCGGCCCCGGCCTTGTCCGCCTCCGTCTCTTGCAAGCCGGCCCGCGCTTTGGCTCGCACCCGCCTCCTCTTGGCTAGCTGCGCCAGTTCCTTCGTGATGTATCTGACGGCAACGCCGTCCCCGGATTTCTCGGCCACTTCCAGGGCGGTTTGGTAGACCAGCTGGGCCTGGGAATAATCTCCTGCGAAGGAAAAAAAAAAAAAAAAAGACGATGCAAAGATGAAGACGGACGGACTTCAACTCCCAGAATGCCCCAGGCACTTGTGATGAAGGCATGCCGGACAGGGAATTCTAGGAATTGGAATCCACCCGTCTTAAAACGTGGCTGAGGACCTGTAGGTCGTCCTCGACTTAACAACAGGACGTTTATAATAATAATAATAATTAAAAAGTTGGAAGGGACCTTGGAGGTCATCTAGTCTAGCCCCCTGCTCAGGCAGGAGACCGTATACCATTTCAGACAAACGGCTGTCCAATCTCTTCTTAAAAACTTCCAGTGTTGGAGCATTCACCGCTTCTGGAGGCAGGTTGTTAATAATAATAATAATAAAGTCGGAAGGGACCTTGGAGGTCATCTAGTCCGACCCCCTGCTCAGGCAGGAAACCCTATACCATTTCAGACAAATGGCTGTCCAGTCTCTTCTTAAAAACTTCCAGTGTTGGAGCATTCACAACTTCTAGAGGCAAGGAGTTCCACTGGTTAATTGTTTAGGGACCACGGAAGTTACCACGGCGCTGAAAAAATGTGACTTATGGTTGTTTTCCCACACTTAACGATGATTGCCAGGCTCAAAGTTGGCAATGGACTCGTATTTATGACGGTCGTTGTGTCCCAGGGTCACGTGATCCCCTTTTGCGATCTTCTGACACGCAAAGTCAATAGGGGGAAGCTGGATTCACTTAACGACCGGGTGACTCATTTAACAACTGCAGTGGTTCACTTAAAGACTGTGGCAAGAGAGGTCGTCAAATGAGGCCAAACTCAACGACAGTCTCACTTTGCGATGGCAGTTTTGGGCTCAATTGTGGTCGCAAGTCAAGGATTACTTGTACATAGGCAGGTAAGAGAGTCGGTTAAAGGCACCAGGCTAAAAAACAAAGTGATCTGAATTCTAATCCTGCCTTAGACATCAAAGCCAGCTGGGTGACTTTGGGCCAATCACCAGGTGACGGTGAGTTCTAGTCCCGCCTTAGGCACGAAAGCCAGTTGATTGACTTTGGGCCAATCACCAGGAGACGGCGAGTTCTAATCCCGCCTTAGGCATGAAAGCCAGTTGATTGACTTTGGGCCAATCACCAGGAGACGGCGAGTTCTAATCCCTCCTTAGGCACGAAACCCAGCTGGGGGACTTTGGTCCAGTTCCTTTCAGCCAAACCCACCTCGCAGGGTTGTTGTGGTGAAAATAGGAGGAAGAGGGAGCATTAGGTATATAGTCCCGTTGCCTCCTGAAAAAAGCGCTTTGGGGACCTCCAGGTGGGGGTCCCTGGTGAGGTTTCCCCCTCTCCCTGCCCCGCCAGGCTAATCCACCCCGATGCCGCCCCTACCTTTATGGATCAGGATGCCGGCCAGGTTGTTCAGGATCACGTGGGCATCGGGGTGCTGGGTCTGCTGGGCCAGTTCCGCCGCTCGGCTCACCTGGGCGTAGGCTTCCTCGTAGAGGCCCTGAGCATCCAGCGCCGTGGCCAAGTCGTTCATCACCACCACGGTCTGAGCCAGGGAGGGGAAACAACACAAAACACAACGGCCGGCCAGAAGGACCAACGTTAAAAGTCGAGGGACTCCAAAGCCGGAGAGGCTGTCCTGCGCGGAAAGGAGGCTTCGGTGGGTCAGGTGAGCTGCTCCCCCAAGTGAAGGGCTTTTGGGGTGAACGGTGGCTCAGGTAAAGGGTTATGGGTGGCTCTTCCCGATCAGCAGGAGGGGAAGGGAGAAGGCTTCGGGCCCGGGAAGATGCCACTTGGGAGAGGATATCGGCAGCTCAGGGCGGAACCGGGAGGGGCTCGGTGCCCTCTGAGCTGGGTGGTTTCTCTTGCAGACGTTTCATGACCCATCTAGGTAATATTATCAATGGTAGAAGGGAGGAGGAGAAGAAAGGAGGAGAAGAAAGGAGGAGGAGGAGGAGGAGGAGGAGGAGGAGGAGGAGGAGGAGGAGGAGGAGAAGAAGAAGAAGAAGAAGAAGAAGAAGAAGAAGAAGAAGAAGAAGAAGAAGAAGAAGAAGAAGAAGAAGAAGAAGAAGAAGAAGAAGAAGAAGAAGAAGAAGAAGAAGAAGAAGAAGAAGAAGAAGAAGAGAACTGTGGGGTCCTTGGGGTCCTTGGTGCTCTCTGAGCTTGGTTGTTTTCTTGCAGACCTTTCATGACCCAACTAGGTAATATTATCAGTACTAAAAGGGAGGCGGAGAAGGAGGAAGAGGACCGTGGGGTCCTTGGTGCCCCCTGAGTTTGGTTGTTTTCTTGCAGATCTTTCATGATCCAACTAGATAATATTATCAGTGCTAAAAGGGAGGATGAGGAGGAAGAGTGTGGGGTCCTTGGTGCTCTCTGAACTTGATGATTTTCTTGCAGACGTTTCACAACCTAACTGGATAACACCACCAGTGCTAGAAGGGGGGGAGTAGTGAGTAGTGAGGAGGAGGAGGAGGAGGAGGAGGAGGAGGAGGAGGAAAGCAACTATGGGCTCCTTGGTGCTCTTGGTTTTCTTTCAGACGTTCCACTACCCAACTAGCTAACGTCATCAGTGCTAGAAGGGAGGGGGCAGATTTCCTCTGTTTACTCCAATCAAGGCGCTTCCAACTCAGACAAACAACCAAACATTAAACCGCATCCTAATCAAGGAACTACCAAGATTACACACCCACTGACACTGACAGGGCAAGCCACTTGTATTTAAAATGACAGCGAAGCCTGCTCCCTTCTAGCATTGATGATGTTACCTAGTTGGGTCATAAAACGTCTGTAAGGAAACAACCAGGCTCAGAGGAGTACCCAGGACCCCACAGTCCTCTTCCTCCTCCTCCTCCTCCTCCTCCTCCTCCTCCTCCTCCTCCTTCTTCTTCTTCTTCTTCTTCTTCCTCCTCCTCCTCCTCCTCCTCCTCCTCTTCCTCCTCTCCGCAAACTCCACTCCCTTCTAGCCCTGATGATGTTCCCTAGTTGGGTCATGAAACGTCCGCAAGAAAACCAACAAGCTCAGGGAGCACTGAGGACCCCATAATTCTCCTCCTCCTCCTCCTCCTCCTCCTCCTCCTCCTCCTCCCCCCCCTTTCTTCCTTTTCCACAAACCAAACTCCATTCTAACCCTGATGACATCACCCAGTTGGGTCACGCAATGCCTGCAAGGAGACCACCAGGCTCAGAGAGCACCAAGGGCCCCACAAACAGAAAAAAGGCCAATGTTCCACAGCCAAACCCATCCTTCTGTCCTCAACTGTGCCATTTCTTTATTTTTATTTCGGGGACATCCCACTTGCTCTCTTCGCTACCCACCACCACACCACCGTGTCCTGCAAGGAGGGATGCGTGTCCCCAAGCCCACCCCCACCCACCCCCGGCCTGTTCCCGTGTGCCAAAGGGAGCACTTGAACTCGCAGCCTCCCACTTTCCAGGGCAACCCAATCCCAAACCGCCTTTTCTTTCGGGGAAACCGGAAGAGCTGAAGCCCTCCTGCACGCAAACCCGGAATCTGAACGGCAAGCGGTCGCTTCTTCTCCTTTCAAGAAGAACAGCATCGGGAGAGACCTCGGAGGTCATCTAGTCTGACCCCCTTGATCGAGAAGGGAAACATTGCCGCCTTTTCCCCAAAAAGAAGACCTAACTGGAAAATGAGCCCTAGCTTGATTTTTCTCGATGCTCATAATATCAGCCCCCACCCCAAAAAATAAGCCCCAGTTAAGATGGTCAGCCAGACAGACATGTTGAGTACCGTATTTCCCCGAATATAACCCCTAGCCAGAAAATAAGCCCTAATCTGTCTTTTGCAGCAAAAATAAATGTAAGATCCGGTCTTATTTTGGGGAAAACGCGGGTATAAAGTCTATAAAACCCTGTCAGTCCAGTGAATTTCTGCCCTGCCCTTCATCCTGGACACCCCCATGGGGGATCACCTGCGGGTGTTTCTCGCCGCTGACCTCCACCGCGATCTGCAGGGCCCGTTCGTAATTGGTCTGGGCCAGGGCGGTCTGCTGGTGGGCCAGGAGATAGCGGGCGTAGGAATCAAGGGTCATGGCAAGCAGGAGGTGGGTGTTGCTGCGTTCTTCCTCTGTAACGAGAGAGAAGGACGGAGAGCGTCAACCCAGCCCGGCTCTGGTCCGCGTGACAGGTCCTCGGCTTTAACCAGTGGAACTCCTTGCCTCCAGAAGCGGTGAATGCTCCAGCACTGGAGGTTTCTAAGAAGAGACTGGACAGCCATTTGTCTGAAATGGCATAGGGTTTCCTGCCTGAGCAGGGGGTTGGACTAGATGACCTCCAAGGTCCCTTCCAACTTTATTATTATATTAACAACCTGCCTCCAGAAGCTGTGAGTGCTCCAACACTGGAAGTTTTTAAGAAGAGACTGGACAGCCATTTGTCTGAAATGGTATACAGTTTCCTGCCTAAGCAGGGGGTTGAAGACCTCCAAGGTCCCTTCCAACTTATTATTATTATTATTATTATTATTATTATTATTATTATTATTATTATTATTATTATTATTATTATTATTATTATTATTATTTACAATGTCCCATTTAGTGACCCGTTCCAAGTTATACTACAGCACTGAAAAAAAGGGTACATATGACCGTTTTTCATACTTACGACATTGCGGCATCCCCCACGGCCATGTGATCAAAATATGGATGCTTGGCAACTACTGACTCGTATTTACGACGGTCGCAGCCACCCGGGGTCACCTGATCCCCTTTTTGCGACTTTCCGACGAGCAAAGTCCACGGGGAAAGCCGGATTCGTTTAACAAGTTAATAACAATTAACAACAGTTTGTTATTAAATTAATTATTATTCACTTAATAGTTGCTGTGATTCACTTAACAACTATGACATGGAAGGTCATAAAATGAGGCAAAACCCGCTTGGCAGATTCACCGTGCCCGCTAATTGACAACTGCTGTGTTCCACTTAACGGTGGCAAGAAAAGTCATAAAAGGGGTCAATGTAGGGTTACCTGCCTGAGCAGGGGGTTGGACTTGATGACCTCCGAGGTCCCTTCCAACTTTATTATTATTATTATTATTATTATTATTATTATTATTATTATTATTATTATTATTATTATGACGGTCTCACTTAGCAGAGACAGACATTTGGGGCTCAATTATGGTCATAAGTCGAGGACTACCTGCAATACCGTGAATTATGATTCTCAGAAGGTTCTCCCTCCCCCCCAACCAAATACCAGGTGGTCCTCAACTTACGACACACAATGGATCCTATTCATCATAGTTGTACGTCATAATAGTCAGAAAACGCCTCGATCTGCGGCCTGATTTTAAGACCTTTTTTTTTCCCAGCAGTGGTTCAGTGAGTGCCATGGTTGTTAAGCAAGGCATCGGTTCACTATGGCGGCAGTCCTGCTGAAAACCGGAAGCAAATACCCGTTTTCAGCCACACTGTCATAAAACGAGGACCCCTTGACACCAGAGCCATAATTGCAACCCGGAATGCTGAGTGCCTGAGAGGTTTCGCCCCATGACCACCAGGGGGCGGCAGCAGCTGTGAGAATCAGAGTCCTAGGTTGCTAACTTCTAGCGTTCACTAAGTGGTCCGTCGTTAAGTCGAGCACTGCCTGTAAGCAAGTTCTCAAGGCGGTCAGGCTGACAGCCAACAGGTCTGGGGTGGCCCATTCGGCTCCCAGCAGCCTTTACCTGGCAAGGCGTCCGCGGGCGTCTCCTTCTGCTTGGCGACCTTCTCCTCCAGGGTCAGGATGCAGAACTGATAGCCAGCAAGGGCAAGTTTGTCCCTGCAGAGAGAACGGATTTATTTAAAATGTCTTTTGGGGATTCGGTTTTTCTAAGAAAAGAGACGTTTTTTCTCCAAGTCTCTTCATCTCTTTTACACACACGCACACACACACACACACACACACACACACACACACACACGGTTAATACAACTACCTAGCATGTAGGCTGCCTAGGTTCGAATCCCATAAAGGGTGTGGCTAGCTGATGAGAGCAAAATGAGCTCAAAATAGCTATTCTAGTCTCCCACTTAATTCTTTAACTCTTTGTCAGCAAAAAGAAATCTGAATATATATATATATATATATATATATACATCATCAGCAACCCTGATGATGTCGGGAGTGCCCGACGAAAGCTTGGTTGCCTTGTATTTTAAATGTTTTAAATGCTTTTAATGTTTTAAATGCTTTTAAATATTTTAAATCTTCTCTTGGTGGTCAATGTTATTTTTGGTTTTGAGATGAATGCACCCAAGAGTCAAATTTTTACCAGTTACAACACAAAAGACTAATGGGCACACAGCCAGCACCTCAGCTACTCAGGATGTTACGAAACAGCCGAACAATCCGCAAACAATAACTCCAACACAGCCAACCAACCCACCTACAGCAACAAAGCCAGCACTCCACACACCCCCACCAATATTTATAGAGAGACGGCAGCTCCGGTCACACTTTGCTCGCACAAGCACGAAGCCGAAGACCCCAGCCTGATGATGACGAGTGGGACCTCGTCGAAACGTCGCCAAGAAACTCTCAATCTTACACGGGAAAAGACCCGAATACGCCAAGACCTGCATACCTGTACCCATGAAAATCTACGAAAACATATATTCATATGTTCACATATACACACACACATATATACACACACATATACACACACAAACATATGTACACACACACACACACATATATATATATACACGCACACTCATATATATGCTGGCTGGGCAATTTTGGGGAGTTGAAGTCCACCCATCTTAAATGGAGAAACTCTATCCTAGGCCCACTGAGGGAAAGGAAAAGGCACCAAGAGGTGATCAAACTTACTGGTTTTGAGCGGCGTAGATGCTGGCCAACTTCAGGGACATCTGGAGAATGGCATTGTCATCCTGGAGGATCAGGGAGGGGAAAAAAAGGGGGTGGGTGGGCATCTGTAAGGGATGGGCTACCTAAGCTTGGTGCCCCCTCCCACCGAGCATGAAACAAATGAAGGAACTTAGGAAACAGCGTTCTCCATTGGTGAGTTTCTTTGGAAAGCGTGGAAAAAGCCAGCCGAATAAACCACTCAATGAAACCGCTCCCTTCTCTTCGCCTCCTTAACATTCTCCCCCCCCCCAAGGACCCCCAAACTTCAGCCATGAACCCCCTGTGACAATGCCGTGTCACTGGGCGGGAGTTAAAATGATAACCGTTTGACAGAAGGAAAGGAGAGGCAGTCCACAGCCAAGACACGGGAGGCAGAAATTAGCCGTGACTCCTGACTCTGGGTGCTTTCTGAGCTGGGGGGGGGGATTGTTTCTTATAGAAGTTTCATGACCCAGCTAGGTAATGTCATCAGCGTTGGAAGGGAGGGCTGGGTGTAAGAGAGAATGAGGAGGAGGGGGGGAGGAAGAGGAGGATTGTAGGGTCCTTGCTGCTCTCTGAGCTGGGTGGTTTTATTGCAGAAGTTTCATAAACCACCAGTGTTGGAAGGGAAGGGGGATTTATGGAGAGGAGGAGGAGGAGGAGGAGGAGGAGGAGGAGGAGGAGGAGGAGGAGGAGGACGAGGACGACGACGACTGTGGGGTCCCTGGTGCTCTCTGAGCTTGGAGGTTTTCTTGCAGAAGTTTCATTACCAAACTAGGTAACATCATCAGTGCTAGAAGGGAGTGAGATTTTGCAGAAAGGAGGAGGAGGAGTTGTGGGGTCCTTGGTGCTCTCTGATCCTGCTTGGGTTTTTTTGCAGATGTTTTATTACCCAACTAGGGAACATCATCAGTGCTAGAAGGGAGTGAGGTTTGTGAGGAAGAGGAGGAAGAGGAGGAGGAGGAGGAGGAGGAGGAGGAGGAGGAGCACTGTGGGGTCCTTGGTACTCTCTGAGCTGGGTGGTTTTCTTGCAGACATTTCATGACCCAGCTAGGGAATATCATCAGGGCTAGAAGGAGGAGGAGGAGGAGGAGGAGGAGGAGGACTGTGGGGTCCTTGGGGCTCTCTGAGGTGGGTGGTTTTCCTGCAGACGTTTCATGACCCAACTAGGGAACATCATCAGTGCTAGAAGG